AGATAGATAGATAGATAGATAGATAGATAGATAGATAGATAGATAGATAGATAGAAAGATAGATAGACAGTTATGAAATGCGACAGGTGCAGAAAAAGCTGCTAAATTACTCACCCCAACACTACACCAATGACGCTGATCAGTGTTCACAAACCTATTGTCTCCACCCTCATCCCGACCACTAAGTGCCACTTACTGGCTAGTGCTTGTTATGACTGGTAACTGTTGTGCCACTTACAGGCTAGTGCTTGTTACGACTGGTAACTGTTGTAGCACTTATGTGCAAAGAGGGGGATAGAAAAATATCATCATTGTTACTCTCTCGTATTGATAAAAGTAGATTTTGTTTAACAACGTAGCTTCTTTTTACCTGTTTAGGGTATGGGTGCGAAGTCGGGTGGCGACTGATGGGGTTTAATCTGGTTGAGTGTTTTAGAAATTAAAAATTTCGTAATGTGCACAATGGTGTCTTTTTACACCCCCATCGATATAATTTAGCTCATTTAGGAGGCTGGCAGCTTCAGTGTCGTCTGTCAGGGCCGGCCCAGGGTGAAAAAGACAACGCCCAAGCAGGAAGGTGGAGATAGATACTCGATGTAATTTCTTCCTCTATAGGAATGGAACCCGGCCCTTGTGTGTATGACAAAGAAGCACCAAATTGCAGCACCACATATAATATATTACAGTTCAGTTCGACTTCTGTTTTATTTTGACAGCTACGATCGAGGCAGCGCTTATTCCAAATCGTAAGCCTAAAGGTCTAGTTTAGGTGTGAGTGATGATTTTCGTGTTGTTTTTTCAACCGGGCCAATGATAAATAACCAACTGTTATCATTTTATTATTTTCAAAGCAGATTATCGTAAGATTGTAAAACACGATTACGAATTGGTAAATGCAAACAGAAATGGTTTGATAGAAGAATACCAACAGAGATACAGATACGCTTTCTGGTGCGTCGACTTTGGAATAAATTTAGTACTGGTCTGGGAGAGGGCAATTTCTGAATGTCTGGCTTTTGCACATTATCTGAGCTTTTGAATCTCAAAAAATATTTCATGATCCTAAATGATCTTCTTTGTGTGTGGGGTTTTTAAAAAAACATTTTAGTACAAGAGAGTAACAAACACAGAAAGGAGAAGAGATCAGAACGATAGATGTTTGGTGGGAAAGAAGGAGCAAGCCACACCAGAGCACCCACGAAACACCCACTTGCGTGTGTGTGTGTGTGTGTGTGTGTGTGTGTGTGTGTGTGTGTGTGTGTGTGTGTGTGTGTGTGTGTGTGTGTGTGTGTGTGTGTGTGTGTAACTCTACTGTGGTTAGTACGACATTCACCCTAATTTTCAAGACCGCCACAAAGTGATTTATTTTATGAAGTAAATTGTGAAGTTATAGTAACTTTCCAAAAGTAATCAATGGCTTCAATGGAGAAAAGTAACGGTATACCCCGAGCACGTTACATTGCACGCATTGAGAGAGTGTTCACTTGGGGTCGGTTTGTCACGATGGTGTTTTGGTAAGAGTTTTACGCCCCAAGTTCAGTCACTGCCACAGGGACTGTCATTTCCGTGTGGGCCTGTTCAGCCACAGCAAGCGCAGCTCTCGAACCTGAAATCTCCTACAGCGCAGACCCATAGTCTCCTGAGACTGAAGAATGCCATACTGTTTTAGTAAGAGTTTTACGGCACTTGCAACACAAGTATAGGGTGATCAAAAATTCGAGGTGTAACTTATTGTCAAATATCTCCCCAACTGTTGAAGATACACTCTCCAACTGTTGAAGATACACTCTCCAACTGTTGAAGATACACTCTCCAACTTCACAGTTAAGTGGACGCGCTCACGGTACGCCCCGTAGATTTTTGTGACCGGCCGTGAAGCCTCGCGCTACGGTGGGTCTAAACAACTCACAGTTTTGTTTCGTTTTGCGAATTGCACTACCACTCCCGATACATCTTTTTAAACAGAAAAGAAAGGTCTTCAAAATGGCGGTCTTCGCGTGAAAATCGGTTCAGTAGAACTGGAAATATTTGCATCTGAAAACAAGGCAGTTTTTACAACGCGATAAAATGAAAACTACTGGCTGTATATTTATGAATCTTTCAGAAGTTATAGATTATCCATTCCAATTCCTTTTGACACCCGAGTTATTTAGCCTGAACTGCGCACAACGCCATGGGGCTTCCCGTAAAAATGCATACAAAAAGCCACACCGCGAATATATGCGATAACGTATTGGGGCGACAATACATTTATTCGCACTTTACTTGTTTCTCCGGACATTAATAATACGTGCGACTATGAAATCATGAACGGACTGACTAAAAAATTCACAGTTTTGTTCCATATTTGGCTCTTGAATAGTGTAGACGATAGCTAAATCAAGATTCCCTGTCTAGAATTTGCAGTAGCAGGCTAGCTGACAGCTGTCACAGAGCCAGCATCTACTAGATCTAACTTACAAATTACATCACGTATGCCTTTGGGCTTTGGAATAGAAATACAACTTGGATTGCACAGTTCTAATTGATGTTAGATTCAGCATCTATCTAGCTATAGTATCCAGAATTAATCATAATTAATCTCATCATAACAATCACTTTTACTAGACAACTTTTTTCTCAAATCACTTTTGCGCCAGCTACTAGTTATGTATGTAGGTCATATGAGCGTGCGAAGCTACTAGTTAGTAGATCTAGTAGAGAACAGGGTTCATAAAGCCACTGCTCAGTCTTTCACTTTCAGTACCTAATAAATGTGTGTTATTATTGTCTGGATATTTTTACTTTTTACATGATCAAATTGTGACAGTTTCTTTGTGGCCAAAGAATGGCAGGAGAATTTTGAGACAGTGAGTCTCTGACTTAATAGGAAACAATAATTGTGCTCATCCATGAAAACTGCTAGTTGAGAATAACTCAGAACAATACAATTGCCATAAGTGGCAAAAAAAAATTATGAAAAAATAAAAGAACGAGATAGGCTATAATTTGTCCCAAGAAAATTGCAAGTGAAAGATCATAAGATAATTTTGTTATTTTCTGGTCATCTTTCCACTGTTTATTATCATGTTCCAGTGGCCTACTACAAAAGTGGTCTCTGATGAACATTTTTCTTGACGTTATAAGCTCTTTTATGCACTTGAAAGCATAAAATACAAAATGTATATATATAGCTTCCCACAAATGTATGTTACTATACTTAGAAAAAGAAGGATAGGGAGCTAACTTATGGTCATGAAGAGGGGAGGTTTTGTTGTTGTTGGTGCGGGATCCGTTTTACGATTAGAAAAACTCTAAAAACAAGTTTTAAAATCTAAGAGAGACCGCAAAAATTTTGAAAGTACTACTTAGTTGGTTTAACTCTAATAATTATGACCAGTGAAGAAAGACAAAGAGAATGCTGCATGATCTGTCGAAACATAACCATTAGCACCAAAGTTATTTCCCTTTTTGTCCATTTCGGGTTATCTGTGTGGGGGATTTTTTACCACCCTGTATCTCTATAAGTAGTATAAGTACCAAAATATATTTCCGTGACTGTGTAAAGGGGTGTTTTGTAGTTGTGTGCATTCTGTGTAAAATTCCCAACAAATTGATGAACAACACTTTTTAAAAATATGCATTTTTTGTTGAGTAATGGTCATTTGTGTTGAGTAATGGTAATTTGTGTTGAGTAATGGTCATTTGTGTAGAGTAATGGTCATTTGTGTTGAGTAATGGTCATTTGTGTAGAGTAATGGTCATTTGTGTTGAGTAATGGTCATTTGTGTAGAGTAATGGTCATTTGTGTTGAGTAATGGTCATCTGTGTTGAGTAATGGTCATTTGTGTTGTTACGTTGCGTTTGGGTGTCACAAAAACCCAGAGTTAAAATGGCCTGAAAGTGGCCAGATTTTAGGTACGAAAAATCGCCATAACTTTTTAACTAATAAAGATATCAACACAATTTAAACTGTTTTATGATCATGAAGGCAGGGACTGCGAAAGTACATTATTTCAAAGAATATCAGACAACTTTGACATTTTCACAAAACTGCCATTTTGTCAACAGATGAATATTCTTTTAATCACCTGTACCATGTATTCTAGAAAATTCCTTAATGAATACTTATGAAAATCGCAGTCCATAGTCTTTACATCATATTAATTGTTCACACCAAAACACACTGGCCCCAGCTCATCACCACTGGACAGGAGGGGCGGGTTACTCTGTTCTTTACTCGACAGTTGTGTGCCATTAATATACTGAGAGTTGTATGTGATGATCCAGGAAGATGGGACCCTCTGTTCTTTACTGACAGTTGTATGTGATGATCCAGGAAGATGGGACCCTCTGTTCTTTACTGACAGTTGTATGTGATGATCCAGGAAGATGGGACCCTCTGTTCTTTACTGACAGTTGTATGTGATGATCCAGGAAGATGGGACCCTCTGTTCTTTACTGACAGTTGTATGTGATGATCCAGGAAGATGGGACCCTCTGTTCTTCCCACCTGTTACTCGTACGTTATAGACATAAACTATAAGAGTTGTTGTTTGTTATAATCTATTAAAATTATTGGAAGATTTGCATATTCTTCCAAAAAATGAAGGCATCAAACCAAGGCCTTGAGCTGCAGGCTGATAATTACAAAAAAATCACTTTAAAAAACCCCACCAAAATGTGTTTCCATTTTAAAAAAATGATAGTTCCACCATTTTTCAACAGTTTTCCAATAAAAAAATGATAGTTCCACCATTTTTCAACAACGTTTTCCAATAAAAAAAATGATAGTTCCACCATTTTTCAACAACGTTTTCCAATTTAAAAAATGATAGTTCCACCATTTTTCAACAACGTTTTCCAATTTAAAAAATGATAGTTCCACCATTTTTCAACAACGTT